TAACAAATAGGTGTGACATTCACATAACAGTATTGGTAAGAAGAAATGATAAACTAGCAATGTCTACTGAAAAAAATTAACCTAAAAATAGTGATAGATAAATAAAAAATATGCAGTCAACCCAATCCCTTGGATCAGCACATATCTGTAATGTGATTTCCTAGTGGGACATTTCTGAGCACCAGGAAAGACTACTACTGAAGTGAGTGCTTTTTGAGGGTTATCATTGCTATAAGAAGTGTCAAAAGGGAAATATTAAATTCAAATCAATTTATTCACTATGGTGCAAAAAAACATCATGCATGTATGTATTACTGGCACAGAAAAAAATATAAACCATACAACAAGAAATATAAACTCAAACACACTCCTCTCTGTTTTTTTTCAATTCATTCTCCTATCTTTCAAATATTTCTTTTAATCACCTGATGGAGTAGGTCCCATTTTCTTCATGAAATTACCTCACAAAAAGAAATAATTTTGTTCTTTAAAAGTTTTTTCTCAGATTAAACATTCAGCACATACAAAGACTGATGAATAAATGTTGATATCAATATGAAATTTTAGGAATGGCAAAAACTGAATAATTTTCATGTAACATACTCTTAAAAAAAAGCATTTTGATATGTAATTTTTTTTCTATGGCTAACTATTCAGAAGATACAGACAGGCCTTTGGTTCATATATATATATATATATATTTGTGATGCTGGATTTTCAATACTTTCTAAAAAAAAAGTGATGATTTTGGTTATATGTTAACAATGAAGGACTCTTAACCTTCCCAAGATAACTTTTTTTTTGTTTATTTGGAACACAAAATGGATAAGAACAAAACCAATCATGCAAACACTAATTTATCTATGCTGAGTTAAGAGCACCAACATTTTCCAAAGTGTAAAGAAAAATGTTTTCTTCAGTGGTTAACAAACAGTTATTCAGTATAGAAGTGAAGCAGAAACTCAAAAAAATGATAATCAGTGTGAAACTGAAGCAATTCTAAGAGGAAGAAAAAGTATCCACACACAAAGAAGAGCAACAACCAACACGAAGGCTATGTGCCTGTTGCACTCTCAAACAACAACCAAAATGTAGGGCTATGTGACTGTTGCACTCTTTATTACTGAATATTTGAGAACACAACATTTCAAGAACTAATGGTGGTGAAACACATATCTTTACCTTCTGTCTGTGATTACTACTTGGGAGGAAACTTAGAAGTAAATTTACTATAAAATCAGAACTATTAAAATTATACACACACATTTGCTGGTGTATAATGATACTTTTTACTCTTAATCAATTAATCAAGACATTTTTTATTTGAAATCTATTGATCTCATCCATCATACTCAAAAATAGTTTCTTTGATGTACACTAATTTTGTAACCATGTTTTTATAGTAGATCACTATATCTTAAGGTTTAGTGTTTTTCTTATAATAGAAAAGGAATTCAACTGAGATGAAAACTGTAAAGTTGTTTATTACATGTTTGTGACTTAAGTTATGCCGCATTGAGCTGTCTGTAGCGTTTGAAGAACAAAAAAACCACACTTGTGATTGTATTGGTTACCCCAAAGCACAGTTTAAAAATAACTTCTACGAATTTCTTTACAAAAGTAACATCCTAGACTTGCTTGATAATAGAGGTCATCCTATACACTGAACCTCAAAGAAATATACATAATTTGCTCAAAAAATCCAGGGTCATCTTATAAGTTATACACCAGTAAAAACGGTACACTAAATTGTAAAAACTTACAAAATAATTTATGACAAAGAAAATCATGGAATTAAGAGTCAATGGCATAGCAAGATATATGAAGAATGACAAAGCAAATAATAAGAAAGTTCCTTTAAAAATTAGGATCAGTTGGAACAGTCTGCCTTTATAATTAAGTCCTATAGTAACTCTGAATAGCTTTTGACCAGAAATATTGTTTTGGTCATATAAAACAAGAAATCTGTACTTAACTTTAATTTTGCATTATGTCAATCTTGCATGCTTTATTTTTGCTGCCACTAGTCTTCAGCTGAATTCTACAATCACCAACTTAGTCTTTCCCCTTCTTTTTTTCATAGTTCTTCAATTGTTTCATGTTTGAAGTGCATCCTTATTTGTTAATTAAAGCCACAAGTGTAAGCCTAAGGAAGTGAATGAACAATTTAATAACTTTTGTTTTTGTGTTGATATCTTTCATTCACCAGTACCTGATGCTTAAGTTTGTATGGTCAATGATCCAAAAGGACCATGAAACTCCAAGAGAGCATCTTGGGCCATTTCCAAAAATGCTTCAACTGAACAATATTTTCTTTAACCTTGCATCTGCCTGAGTTGAGCTCATAATAAATGACAATTGCCATCAAAATGGAACTTCCATAATGACGAATTCATTAAATACATCTCTCTTGAATTAAAAAAACATTTTGAAAGAAAAAAAAGAATAAGTAAAGAGTCAAGGAGATCCGTACAAAGAGAAAAAATCCACGGTCATGACGGAAATAAAAAACAAACAAAAAAATCTATGGGTAGATTAAAAGATCAGATCTTCTTCATAAAAAATTAAAATGTTGCTCTACTTCACAAACTCATCTACAGTGATTAGTTTGAAAAGACTAATCTAAATATTAAAGAAAGGAACAGCCTTATTAATAACATGTTTACAAACAGAAAGGCCTTAGATGACACCAAAAAGACAAAAAAAGTAATTTAGATATGTGCAGGATGACTTATCAATTAATAAATGCAATTACTCATAAAATGCATTTACAAATAAGAAAAGCCAAGGTAAACCAAAGCAGTCTCTGAAACTTAGAAATACATGTGAGATCTAATAAATCAAATTAAAAAGTTTTGAAAAAAAAACCAAAAAAATTAAACAATGTACGAGCACACACTGTAAGAAAAACTAGAGAAAATTCTTGAAATGTAGAGAGGGCTTTGGCAATCAGTGAGGACAACTACAAATACAACACATTTGAAAACAAAAAGAGTTGAGCTGATGCTAAAAAAACAACAAAATAAGTTGTAGATAAATCGTTTATTAAAATATAAAATACATTTAATTCCTAAAACACAAAATTAGTAAGTTGTAGATGTTACTCTTTTACAAAACTACACCTCATGGAAATAAAAGTGGAGTATAGATGGATTTTAATTAATTTTGCAATGCATCAATACATTTACCTTAAAATCAGATCAGTGAGCTGCAGATATTGCCATTTTTATTAAACTGGGCAGTACATCAGGGAACAAAATAGTTGGCTGCAGGTAATGTTTTTTATTACAAATTGCATCTCTAGAAGTAAAAGTGAGTGTGTTATTTATACTGCTGTTTTATTAAATTTCACAATACAACTCTTGAAAAACTGTGGGTTGTAGATATAGTTATTCTTATAAACTGTACAACCAGTCTACTTCATAAGAAGAAAAATGGTGAATTGAGATACTTGTACTGAATTTGCAAGATGATATAAATACATGCTCCATAACTTAGGCCTGAACAAAGTTAGTCTACAATTATGGTGAAGTTACAATGTATCGATTTATAATAATGAAATTCTCAACGAGCCTGTTAAGAAACTTGTGTGAATTATTTTCTGAAATCTTGCTAGTCTAATATACTTAAGATTCAAGCAACACAAAGCCTCATCTGCAGCAGCATATAACAAATAAAATGTAATTTAAAGGTGACTATAAACTATTATTTGCAAACTGATATTGAACTAGTAAAGAATGACAATGACTTTAATTATTACATACTTTACGAAGGTTTGAAACAGTTATTTGTGGGAAAATAGACTTATTTCTTTACAGCATTTTGTCTCTAGCAGTGAAAAATTATAATGTGCAACATTTAAGGTACAAATGCATGCAAATTACAATTTGGATGTGCTTGTATTTTAAATGTTGCACACGATCATGTCTTGCTGTTACTAATGAAACATTGTACAGGAATATATTTACCCCTCAAATGGCTGTTTCAAAACTTCATACTGTTCATAAATTAAGTGGGTACTTCTTAAAAAGCAAGTAGTAATATTACACACCTTGTTTCTTTCCAAGCATAGTGGACCACACAGGGATCAAACCTCAAATGTTAGGATTATAAGCCCTCAAACTTACAGCTGAGTCCCAGGGGGAAAGGAGACAAAGTGTTATGCTGATGTCTTATCACAACCTTAATGCTGAAAGGGATAATGCTTACAGGATATATTGTGTTTAAATAACTTTACTTTTCTTTATAGTAGATAGGTTTTGTTAGTAAGGATAAAGTATGGAAATAAAATCATTATATAGCAAATACAACCAAACTAAATTATAGGAGTTAATTTATTGACACTTATATTTTCTTTAGAGCAAATTTTCAAAACTCATAAAGTGTTTTATTTCTTTATAATACAACTTTACATTATTGTTATAGGACAAAGTTCATATGCATATATATGCCTGTAACTATTATTTTGGCAAATTTTTAACATCTGTACTAATGTGAGGTGTTTATCATTACAATATGGAGATAACTATTTAAAAATATATTCATATAGCTAACAAATGTGACTAAAATTGTATTTATAATATTTTATAATAACATGTTAATTGTGAATTTACATTACCTTCTGATCAAAGCAAGCTACCTACATATACCAGAACTGAAAATAAACCCAGCAACAAATATAACTAATTTGATATACTGTTTTTATGTTCTTATTCATAATGATTAGAATGCACTGTTTCATCAGTTAGGTACCCCCCAATGTTAGCAAAATATTTGGTCATAATCCCAAAATTTTACATATTTTGCTTAAAGGTAACATCACTCAACATTGGTTAAAGCTTGTATGAAATCAGCATTAATAATTTTAAAGCTATTTAAGTTAAATAGCTTAAGGACAACATGTTAGTGTGATATATTAAAATAAAAACATTATATGTTAATTTTAATGCACCTGATAACTATTTTTAAGCTTCTACCAATCCAAACACACAAAATCAATCTTGAAATACTGACTGTGTGAAGCACTTTATTCAACATACAATGCATCTTTTCGTTTGAAATAAATACACTGAAAGGAACATCAAATCAAAACAGATGTTTTAGAAAAATGACTTTTATAAACATTACTTTAAGCATTTGAGAAAAACAATTTAACGTACTTTAAGCATATAAAATCTAAAGCTAGTTAGTTGTAAAGCTAATTATACTTTTTCACAATTAAGTGAGCAAAGCCTAGCCTTGACATAATTTCAAAGCAAACACAGCTGCCTGAAGAGTTATGAATAAAAAAAAGCAAAAACATAAATGGATAAAAAGCCAGAACAAAAATAACCTTAATTAATAATCAAAGGGTAAAAACAGCCCTGAATAACTAGGTTATAAAATATCACATTTAAAAAGTTGAAAGTTTCACTGGGATTCTCTCTGAGCAGAACAGCCACTTAATAATGGTCCATCTTAGCCAGGTCAGCTGACCCCCCCTCCCCCAGATAAGTGTGTGCGTGGCAGCAAGAGTCTGTGAGATTCTAACAAGCAACAATCCTGACAACATTATTAAAAATAAACAACAAATAACTTATTTTCCTTAACTCTTACAACAGAAAAGTTGAAAGCACAAAGTCAGACTAAAGAGTTGCATAAAACCACCTTAATAAATTAAGTTATTCTTTTTTACTTTATAATTTGCAGTTCATTACTTCCAGTTCAGTTGATTTTATATACCACACTTAGCATAATTCAATTTTGTAATACATGATCTTACTTCACATAAATAATTTTTACTTTTTAAAGGAGATGTATAAAACACTCACAGTTTAACAACAATACTTTTGATGGTTGTTTTATTCCTAAATTTGCCTTTTACCTTACTGAAAGTGCAAAAATATTAAATTTAATGAATAGAAAACAAAATAATGAAAGCAACAACAGTAAGTTTTAATGAAAGTTACATGAGAATATTTAAATCGTATTTCTGTTTCTTGTTTTCATTTAACTTAGTAATACAATAGTACAATTTTAAAACAATTTCTCTTTTTCTGTATGTAGGAAAATCTAATATTTCTCTTTTAGTGCACATAAAAAAAAAATACTAAATTTATAAAAAGAAACATTCCATTTGTTTTAATGTTTACTAAGTTTGTTAATTTTAATTACATTTTTGCAAAGATAAACCTTCTGTTTTATCCAACAATAATTTACATACATTGTAAGTTCAAACTCTCTGTGAAGATAATAAGATTCTTGCATTTCTACAGAAAAGAATTTTTTTTAATCACAGTTTAAATATTAGGCTAAGAAAAGTGGCAACAAGAGAAACCACTTTGTTTACTCACTACTAATTTCTTGTAATGAAGTTTGTCCTCTACACAATCTATCTTACTCACCTTCCTTGCATCAGCAGATATTTTTTGTAAAATAAATTCCAAGTTCCTTTTCTGGTTATACATAATTATGTTAATGATATTTCTTATATATTTTTTAAAGTAATAATGTCACTGACATTGCTAACTCTCCAACATTTTGCTTGGAACACAAACTTACCTACTTTCATTTCATTGTAAATTTCCACTTTCACTCTATTAATCATTAATTGCTTTTTCTCACAAACTCAATATTCCTTTAATTACTAATTTCCAACTATGTTACTTTATAATTAAGTCTTTTCAGTTTCATCATATAGGCAATCATCATTTCTCTTTTATTAGTTATCACATTAATTGAAATTTCAACTTTTCATTGTGAAGTTCCACCCTGTATCTTTAAGTGGTAACACATACCCTTTATACTGTAAAAATTTAATAGAAAGCTTCCAAAAATAATTTATCTACATTACTTTTAATTTCAAGTGATTTTTTGTTTCATATTTTAACAATAGATTTATCCTAGTTAACACAACTCCTCAATCACTCACTGCAACCATACAAAGATATATATATCCTGGCCACATTAATATTCCTCATACTTACAGTAACTGGTACTTATAATCTCAAAATAAATATTTGTTTATATATATATATATTACAAACTAATTAAGAGAACCAAATCAAATAGATTTTACAATAATCAAAGAATAATTACAAATAAGTATAAGTGTCATTCATTATCCAATGAAAATGCTAAAAAGTCTTTATTACTTTTTAATAACTATCACCATCTTTTTTTTTTCCAATTTAACATTATGCATTTGCAGATAAAAACTCAGATAACAAACAAATAGTAAAATTTAATTAATTGAAAAGTGCAAAAAATAAATAGTCGGAAAAGTTTAAGAAAATAATTATCGAATTCTTTGTAGCTTGTGGAATGATCAAATTTTCCAGACACAGACAAATCAGCTATTAAATGTGAATTATTCTTCTTGATTTAAACAATTCTGCAATGAAAAAATTCTTGGTAAAAACTTAGAAACTATTTTCAAAAGTATATGCTCGATGAAAAAGTTTAAGTTAGAAGGAAGCCTTTTTCTTTTAACAGTTACATTTTCTTATTGTAACCTGGACCTTTGAAAGGTCAAAACATACCACTGCATGAAGAATAGCTTCCAACAAACTGCACAATATAAGAACACTCTCTAAGTGTCTTAAAGCATCTTTCCCAATGTTCAGTTACATTCGCTAACAACAAAAAACTATTATATATATATATATATATATCTGACCCATTAAATCTCAAGCTGCAACATCATCAGTTCAGTTTATAGCTTCACATAAAGGATTTGGGAATAAAAACAGTCATCACAAAACATATGCAACAAAACAATATACAATAACACATATTTACTACATTACACAACACATTATCATTTACCCTTTTCTTTAAAGCTACACATAATTTCACTACAGCAGTTAAGTTTGGGGTAAAAATGTTTATTAATTTTTTATATTTATGAACCTCGATTTTTGTGAAATTTGTAAATAAATTTGAATTACAGCAAAATTATGCAACAATTTTATTAATTACCATAAATAATAAGTGAGAACAAAAATCAAACCACTATAATTTCTCTAATTAACCCTATTACTACCAGATTATTTAAAAAAAACTTTTATAACTATTAGCCAAGGTGTTTAGAGTACCCAAAAATTTTAATTCATTAAAAAACATGTTAAACTTAGTTAACATCTCTAATTATATATAACCAATAGTCCTGAGAAATTTTCAACCCTGTATTTACCACCTGAGGGCTAAGAGTTTCAATACTTTCCAATAAGCAAACATTGCAATTTAAAAGTTACCAGTCCAATTTCTAAGGAAGTTTTTAATTACCAACCAGCAATCTAGAAATATTTTGCTTATTCCAATACGAGGCAAGCAGCAACATTTTTTGACACCCTATTTTAATAGCAATTCTGTAAAAAATTTCTGAAAGCATAAACAATTTGAGATAAGAAATGCATATTTCTCACCATCTAAGAAAAATGCTTTTTGTTTTTTCAAATTCAAATTGACAGATTTTTTAACGGCCTATGTAAAATTTTTTCACAAACCACTGATGACAAACATTTTATGCATTAAATGTTGTTTACATCACAAATGTTACTCTCACAAAATTTTTAGAAGGAAGAAATTAAAATTCTAACCATGTGACAAACAGATTATCATGAATATGAAAGAAACTGGAATGATCATCACATTTAGTAAAAAAAAAAAAAAAAAAAAAAAAAAAGGAATCTTAACAACTACAATAGCATTATCTTTAGTTCTTTAACATCATTAAAATGTTTTTGTTTCCCTGACTTCATCACATACTGCCTGTGGATCACAGGAGTCAACATACAAATACTGTTCATCCACAAAGACGACAATGGAACAGCAATAGTGTTACTAAACATACATATTAATTTACTTTTAGTGTATAGTTTGACAATGCTAACAAGTGAGAAGAAATGCATAATTGCTGGAAAAGAATGGAGCAAGGTACAAGTACATTTTCATTTGACAACAGTTGCTAGTGAGATGACTCAAATAACATGTTAAAACAAAACTTCTAAATGCACTGACTTCAATAACAACATACATAGGTTAATGTTGAAGAATATACACCAGTTTAAGAGCTACTTCTATTTACAAGGCAGTACAGTTAAAATGTCTGCACCACACACCTACCAAAAGCCTTGAGGGCAGTAAAATTATTTTATATTCACAAGATCTAAGTATATATTACTTGAGTTAAACACACAGTGATACATCATCAAACTCTGAATTCGTAGCCAGTCAAATAGCAAGGGTAATACTTTGATACATGTCATCTAACAGCCAATCAGTGACTTTGGGCTTTGTACTACACATCAACTCATTCATATTTTAATGAACACCATGACAAAACTTCAGTGATTTTGTAAAGTTGGAGTTTTGCTACCAATAATAAAGTAATTTTTATTCTTTACACAAATTTATTCATTTTTTTTATCCTGATTCAGCAAACATAGTTTTTATTCGTATTTTATTTATACCAACTAAAACACACAAAAAAAAACTCATACTTCTGGACTCATACATCAGGCTGTACTTAGCAGACATTTAAACCCAAATGCAAGTAAAGTTGATGTTGTCAGTATTACACATAAGAGGTAATTCACAATGGTTCACACTGTATAGTCTCTAAACTGCTGCTGTTGTTTCACACAATCAATGCAAGTCAGAAGGACTAGAAGAAAAACCTGTAGTCAAATAACAACAACAGTTAACACTTGGGTAAGGCAGATTTCTGTTGTATTAATAGAGAGAGATACACATGTTTACAGATCAGATACAAACAACTGGAGCTACATTTGTTGCGGAAGAAGAGTAATATGGCACAACAAGACACGAGTTGGCTGCTGTAAGACCTTTCTGAAGAGGGATGTCCAAAGATCCGTGATGAACACCCTCCAACAAAGGAACCAGCAGCATGACAAACTCAAAGAGCACAGAGTAAGCTAGCTACCAACTAAATAGGAGATGGAGCACCAACTAACTCACCACTACACTATGTCCACCAGTGGCCCAGGTGGGGCTCCTGTGGGAGCGTACGAGTAGCGATGGGCTTGACAGTCAAGAAATTGGCAGTACACAGGAGGAACCCACCTGAGACTGGCTGTGCTGTTCCAAACTTGCTTCTTTATGATCACTACCTTAACATCTCCATGTAGATCTGTTTATGTTTTGATAACATCTCTGTTACCGTTATCAACTTCTTCAAAGTTGCCTGAAAGATAATGTTAAAAGATTTTAATTATGTTTAAAGTTCTATAAAAGATGTCTCAGTAAAATAACACCTAAAGTTTACAAAAGTAGTTTTTCCTGATTACATTTTTAATATAACAAAGTATAATTTCCAAAAAAGAAATAATATTGTTTCTGTCTTTAGAATGACTCATTATATAATGTTCATGTAGAATAACATCATTATATATATAATGGCTTCATTGAATACTACTTGAGGTTTGGTTAGTTTTTGATGATTAAATACAACAATACCCCATTACTGAGGTCTAAAACCTCTGGAATACATAAGAAATAGTTCATGGTTATATTAATGTAAAATGCAAGTATTAATTTGGTAAAATAATACAACCATTACTGAGATATAAGACCTCTGGAGTACATATGAAATGGTTCATGATTATACTTATATAAATGTAAGCATGCAAGTTCTTTATGGTATTGACACACACACAAAAAATGTGTACAAATATGGAAGAAACACAGAAAGGACTGTTAGAAAACTACATTTAAAAGACAGTTTTGAATTTCACTGTAATATAAAACTTTAATAATAGCCACTAGTTAAAAGCATAACATTAAAATCTTACAGAGTTCTGACTAAGATTCTGAAGCTCCGTTTTCTCTGTGGCACAGATGTGATGTATTGTTGCTAAGTCACGTGCAGGATCCCCTGATATTGTCTCCTCTGGATCTGGTCTCTCGGGGACATTCTAAAATGAGCGCATAAGAAACTTTTGTGATTTTTCAGCATAAAACAGTTTTTTGAAAGCTAAATAGGTCTCAAAAATAAAACGTTGAGATTGAAAGGAAAGCATATCAAAAGAGATCTTTTTCAACTGTTGTTCTGTCAAAAATAAAATGAATGTAATTAAATTTACATAAAAATGTAGATTGAAAATGAATTACAGAAGCTCAAATGTCTTACAAAATGCAGTTTTATTGAGTGTCATGCTATGAAATTAGTCAATTATTTGCTTCAATCTGCTTTCCACATAAATCAAACACATTACATGAATAACATAAGCAATCCATGTTATCCAGATTGCATTTGCTTGTGAAAAGGTGATGTTTTTAAATATTTATTAAATTGTTCCGTGCACAGTAAATAATAATGTACATGTGAAAAAAGTTAGTCAAATTGAGATATATTTTAACAATATAATTAATGATGAACAGAGTGATGTATGTAGGAATTTTCATAGGGTATTTAAAATATAAAACTTGTTTTCTTATAAGGCAACACAAGGTTTTAAAAGACTTTCAGTAAATTAGACAACAAACAAACCCCCCCAAAAAAAGAACTTAATGTTGGATGGGGAAGAGTACAAGAAAACTATTGCTATAAAACTGGTGTGTTAAGAACAAATAAACAAATGAAAAAACACATACTAGTCACAAAGTTATTTTGAGGCACTGTAAGCATGTACGAAACTAAAGTAAATCTTTAAAAAACACATTTTCTTTCTGTTCAACTAGTCATGTCACAAGCATCAGTGCATTCACAAATGTGATAACCTCCAAGTTTACAAGACAAACCTGTGAACCTCTGTTGTAATAGGGATGAAATAAAGAGTATTTAAAGGAAAATAAGTAGTCATTTCAATATTTAATTATCTTAAAATGAAGCACAGGGGTAATTTGAAATAAAATCTTAAAAAAAAAAGATCAGTTTAAAAAATAGGAACATTAATTACTTAGCTCTCTCTAACAGCAACTTAATAAAATTGCAACTGAAGAAAAGAATTTATTAGATTTGATAGTTTTAGAGAAAGTTGTTCACTTAGTTCACCACAATGTATTAGAAAAATTACATAATCTTAATACCCAAGATATACTTCTTCTTAACAGCATTAAGGGTGAGAGTTATTAAAACAAAGATATTGTTTGTTAATCCATCGGTTTTCAGTAAAAAAAAAAGTGTTTGCACAGCATTTTGAACAACAATGGTGAGATCTAAATAAGAATATCAATACAATATGTAAAATACAAGGGAGAAAAGATATTTTATTGTTCTACAAATCTTTTAAATAACTGAGATCCATGTGTTCAGATGACAAAAATGTCACAGCAAGAATTTAAATGAGGAGACATCTTGGTACATATAGCAGTGCCTTTAATTTAATGACACAAATATGTATGGGTAATTACATGGTGAATTAAGAAAGAAGGCATTTTAACAATTAGTTAAAACATAGCCTAAAAATACACAAAGTTTAATGATTTAGGTTGAAACTTCTACTATGGAAAAGGATAAGGTTAACACTTACTGAGTGGAAGTAGATCTTAAAATATGGATTAAGATTAGATAAAAGTTATTCAAATATTTTAAAGATGTAAATCTAACAGCTTATAAATTTAATAATCAGTACAAAATAACTAAGATACAAGCAAGTAGTGCTCAAACTACTGTTCAGCATGACTGAATATTAAGATAACATCAGAAGTTGTTCTTCCTAGCAAAAACTTTAATAATGCTTTAAAAGTCTTGACTGCTAAATGAGACAGTGTTTTAGGTTAAACAGCATTGAGCTAGAGCAGTAAAGAACAATGTATTTCATCATATTACTACCTGGCCTCTTCTGAAACCAAAATGTTTTCCTTTCCAGCCTCCTTGCAATCAACATTTATAGTCCTTTTTTGTACCCTGACAAAGAACCCCTTGAGCCATACATATACAACTGTGACCATCAGAAGTTCCACACCATAACTTCTAATATGTTTTGTGTATCTTCGTGAAATTTGGAATGTTTTCAGTAAACATTACAAGTCTTTTGTACACAAAAAAGTAGTAAATAGCTTAAAGCTTACAAAAGAATACCTTTGTTTCTACTTCAAATTTACTGTTTTATTACCCTTTGACCCATGTCTAACTGATAATCCCATCACTGAAGTTGAAAATCACTCTGTGAATATCTAATGCACAAGCTGCTCGCAAGTACACCTCGAGAAGAATTGTTATTATTTTTTTATTATCTTACCTAATCTAACCTAATAAGTTTCTAATTTTTACATTTTAATTACTTTTATAATAATAAATAAAGAATATACATGAAAAACAAGAAATATGGTACTTACCTGTGTCCTCTTGTTTTTGCTGTCAATTGTCGGTGAAAGTTAAGCGTCCTTATTTATAGTTATGGTACTAGTACACTAAATAATTATTATTTATTTAAATAATACACCTATGAACACAGAATAATACCACATACAAAACAAACAATTTTCAAAGCTATCATAATTTAATCAACTTTCTAACTATTGCAATAAGAGCCTTTAAAAATTTAGATAAGCTTGTTGATGTGAATACAAGGTGAGATGTTTTCAAACTGGAGGTGAATTAGACAATACTTTGTACAGAAAACAAAATAACATGCCATTTGATAGATTAAAACATCAGAGAGAGCTACTGGTAATTTGTGAAAGAAAGGATGTGAATGTGGTCATGGCAAGTGGATCTGATTTTCTAGCTTATGGCTCCGTAACCAAATAAGATTGAAGGCTATGAAAATTATGCTTTGTCTTAGTAATATCTATATTATATTATAATGATTAACCTACATTACATTCTGCACTTCCCAGAGGAGTGTTAAATAAATTAGAGAAGAGGGGAGACCTAAAGAACAAATGTCACAATTTTCATAGTAGGGGGAGATTGAGGATTTTTTAAAATATTTTGTCATTAAAATTAAGAACTTAAAACTTATATAATATTTAAATATGATGCAAGTTTATTCATATACAATGATAATATGGTAGTTTAATTCAATTTTGAAAGCAACTCTAAAAGATTGTGACATGTGCATTCTGACCTACCCATAGTAAGACAGTTAAACTAAAAATTTTTAGACTTATCCTTAATTTCAAACATTTCCAACCATAACAGCCAAGAGGAGATTTCTTTCTGTTTGACTGTATATGATTAACTAAATTTTACAAACATCACCAATTCTTTTTGGTATATAATAATATAAGATGTCAAGCTGACTGGCTAAAGTAACAAAATATTTTGGAAATGCTTTAAAACTGCCAGTTAGGGAATGAATTATTTTTGTCATGCTTTAGGAAATATGCTAGACAACAAAGGCATGACTTCTTAGATAGAAATAACTGGTTAGGAAGTCCAACCTGAAAGTTCAATCCCGTGAAACAATTCCAGGTACTTATAGCTTATCTGGGGTAAATGTTCATTTTTAATTGTGTTTGTTTACCAAATGACAAATATTCTCCAGGTAGCACTACAAAATATAAATTCAAGAAATGTTTTTTTACTGTTTAAACATATTAATTTTTTTTATATAATTTCAAAATAACTTTAGAGTTTAAATATAATGAAACTAAACAAAGAAACCTTATGATAAAGTAGCACTCAAGATTCTCCAGCTCTTGATGTTTTTTCTAACATTTATTCTCAACAATAAAGAAAATCATTACATTTTAAATATGGGTGATTTTTTTCTGATCATACAGTACATTTAAATGATCAAGATAAGCTATATATATATATATAGGAAGAAAAGAATGTCTCATTCAAAAATATTGAATGTTAATTGCTTTGTAAACTTTTATCTCTTTATCAAGACACTTCATGAATGAAACTTTTGTTTTCAAGGTGAAAATTAAGATTGTTAGGTAACTAAAAAGAGGTAACATTCTCCTAGTATTGCAGATTTTTTCTTCTTTGACAATGAAAACTTATTATTCCTTAAATATTCATAACATCTCATCACATCCTAATGATCTCAATCTCAAGTGAAACTGTTTTGAATTATTATTAAGTTGAGTATAGCAATACAGTAATAATTTCATTTTAATTTGTTTAATGTATTAGCGACTTTTCAATAAACTTACCGATATGTCATCAAGGAACTTGATCATTCTGTTTTTGTTTTTTAGAATGAAAGGATTAATAACCTCCATCCAGGGTTCCTGCAATAAAAAAAATTCATGAAAAGGTCATAAAAAAACCCTTAATGAAAAGAAAAAACAAAATCATTTGATATGCAGATTTGAATACACTGTTTGTCTGCCACTTTAAGTTATATTAAATTTTCTTTTTACATATAAATAACCATTATTTCATTCAGATGTTATGATTATTATACTTGTCTTTCTTTCTTGAATAAAACCACTTTTAAACATGTTTTTGATGTGATTTAATGTACTTGTTTACATAAGGGCATCATACAATCTCATGAACAAAATAAACAAATTCATGATACAACTATATAGAGCCAGGAGATTTAATCAATTAATTAATTACATAAGAACAGAAATTACATCAATTAGTGTCCCATACACTAATAGAATAATCAAAAGTAGTGTTTCCGATTATTATAGCTTTCAATTATTCCAACAATTAATTAATCAAAATTATGATTTAATCGACTGTCACAAAAATAATCAACTAATCAAAATTAGTTGCTCCAATTATTCTGCCATTACATTTTTTATTAAGCACAAAGCTACATAATGGGTAGTTGGGAAATGCTGTGTTATTTGAGTGTTTCGGGTTTGATTCCCATTAACACTAAATTTACCCATTCTGTTTTTTTCTTCTCACAAAGCAACTAAGGCTATCTGCAACTATCACTAATTTTGAACTATGGGTCAGAGGGGAAAACCACTGGCTGGTAGTACCCAATGCCAACTATTTGGCTACTTAAGTATTAAATAAAGTGTAAATTTACTGTTTGTTTATACAGTGTTATATTTTAAACTTATAATTCCTTAACTATATCATTTAATATTGTACAAGCAGGCACAGGTCTGGGGTAGGAATCAAAGGGAGATGAAACCCCACCCCAACCTTTCCACCTATTATTTTCATAAATCAATAACTGTATTATTTAATGTTGTATAAGTAAGCATAGATTTCAGTAGGTCCAAAAACTTATCCAGTTTTTCAGAAATTAATAATAAAATGGTCATTCATACTACTACAAAGAAATATCTGATGTCAGTATTTTTGTTTGACAGGTCTGTAATTACTGTAAAACGTTTTTAGTTCTTCTGAAGTCAACGCAGTAATCTGGTTACTACCTCAGCAAGTAACTAATAATTACTAAACAAATACAATAATATAAATGTCAGTTAAATGTTGCAATTGTAAGTTTTTGCTCCTTGGCTTTTTCCAGACACTAACAATGTGTGTGTGTGAGCCCTAGACTTGAAAGATTTGTTTTAATTAAAGTTAGTATGGTTAAAATACCTGCAGCTCTTATAACATATACTTGTTACAAAATCTATTTTTTATTGTTTGAAAGTTAGAATATTTGTGAGAAAGATGTTTTGGTATTATTGTTGTCCAAAATAAGCAAAAAATAAGTGCTATGAAATATAAGTGATGACTTACGAAAATTTAAAATGGGCATCCTGTTTAGCAATGCTAACATATGAATTTAGGTGTACAGTTCTCTAAATATAATTATAACTATTAAATTCAAATTGCAAAATTTGGAAAGATGGTCTTTAACTGTATAATTTTCATATCATTCACATTATTAGAAATAAAAATATAAGCTTTGAAATCATTGGATTATAACCTAACTGAGCTACTAATAATAATTTTGTAGGCTTTCTAATTGATTTTATTATTAAAGTTAGAAATAATGTGCAGTTATAAGTAAAAAAAACAATAACAAAAGTAATATAAATTAATCAGTAGTGCTAGTAAAGGTCTAGTCTTTTTACAAAATCCTGGATCACCCGTTTTCACCAAATTTTTCAAAGTATGGATCTCTAACAATATTTAACATAATTTGAAATATGTATGAATCATGTTTGAAAAATGTTTCACATAAGTACTTCATGTAGTGAGCTTTGTCATTTCTTCATTTTATTTTAATGAACATCAGTATCGTTCATCAAATATCATGTAGTGAGCTTTGTAATTCTCAGTTTTATTTTAATGATCATCGGTATCGTTCATCAAATATCATGTAATGATTTTTTGCACAGGTGTCTTGAAAAACGACCTTATTTCCAACAATGAAAGAAATATTCAACTAACTTACACATCATGTAAGCCTAAAGTCAAAACTAGTTATTCTTGAAATATTTTATTGCTGATATTTTTCATATGCTTTTCATATCTTTTCACTACAAATTTTAAAGAAAATCTTGTATGTTAATCCTAAATATTTAAACAACTTTAACTCAAAAATACTTTAGAATCAATATTCTGATACTTCTTTACTGTAATTAATGATGAAAAAATTTATTTCATTTTTGCACAGTTTTAAAGTTTTACCTGAAAACAAAACATCTTACTAATTGACTTTTTTAGGAATTTTTCTCCCCATCTCAAATGATAACATTATTACCAAGGGTCTATCATCCCTTGAACGTATATTATCCATTTCTTGATTTTTCAGCACTTCCCATAGTATTGCACAAGCCCTTGTCGAAACCTTCATACACTGCCACATCAAGTGGTTAATTGTTTACTAATAAAGCATACTTTGAAAACTATTTAAAAATTTATATATAATTGGATATACTAAAGGAGAAAATATATAGGTTTTAGATTATTTTTAGAGTTTCTGTAAACTTCTTTTCACTGTGAATTGTGAAATTATTTGTGTGTTAATTATATATGTTTGAAAGATACAGAAATTGTCTTCAATGAGAAGAATCAGATAACTTGAGATAAGGAAGGTAAGCTTATAAAATAATAATCAAATCAGATAATATTTCTGTTTAGTGAGTATGGTAGGTAACTGCAAAATAATGATGACACAAATCTTTATTGAATATTGTTTTAGGTTTATCCTATTCAAACAACATACATAAATAAATTACACTGTCTAACCAGCTGTTTAATTATTTATAATGGTAATTGTATCATGTTTTAAATAAAAACATCATTATCCTTATTGAGAGAATAAAATACGTTTTGAGTATTTGATTAGACAGGCCTGCAGTGGTTTTATTGTCTTGAAATTTTTAAATGTTCTACAGTAATTCCTGTCCATTGAATCCGAAAATGATATCCATTTTTCTTCAACACGTCCAGATTTTTCACAAAACGTCAGATGTACCTTTACGTAAGTGAATCATTTTACATTGAAATCAGGTCACATTTTGTTATACTAAAAATGTTGACAACCAATGGCTATAGATTTCTCTAGACAATCGCAAAATGAGAGTCTTATTGATTGTTATAGAACCCACATTTTGCAAGAAGGTTCACTGGTTTATTGCAACAATATTGCTGAATTAATACCAATGCTAGGAGCTGTAGTCTATGAACCAAGTGGGTGATGATTGTTTATAGATTCCTCCAAAAGAAGTCTAAAAGGTGTTCTTCTTCACAATGGTAGCATATATGCATCTGTTCCTATTGCTCATTCTGTTCACTTGAAGGAAACATACAAAAATCTCAAACTTCTTCCCAATAAGGTGAAATACAAAGAACATGGTTGGCTATTTTGTGGAGACTTAACAGTCCTTTGAATGTTGTTGGATCAACAATCCGGTTATACAGTGTGACTGGAACAGCAGATCACAAAATCAGCATTGGATAAAGAAGCAATGGCCATGCAGAGTTAGCCTGATACCAGGATCGAAAAACCCTGAACGTAAAAATTTGGTTGACACAAAGAAAGTCCTATAACCTCCACTTCATAAAACTGGGCTTGATGAAGCAGTTTGTAAAGGCGTTAGACAGAGATGGTGACTGTTTCAAGTATCAGCTCTTTCAGAAGCGAAACTTAAAGAAGGGATTTTTATTGGGCCTCAGATTAGGAAATTGACTTCGGATGAACAGTTCGAAAGGACAATGAGGAAATTTGAAAAAGAAGCATGGATTGCCTTTAAAGATTTTATTGACATATTTTTAGGAAACAACAAGAACTAAAATAAAAAAAAAACACTGTTAATAACATGCTCGATAAATTCAAAGAGTTGGGTTGTAATATGAGCTAAAACGTTCATTTCTCACACTTGCATATTGACTATTTCCCTGAAAATCTCAGTGCCATCAGTGAAGAACAAGGGGAAAGGTTTCATCAAGACATGTAGAGGAGGTAACAGGGAAGGTGAAACATCAGCATGATGGCTGATTACTGCTGGTCATTGAAATAAGATGCTCCAGACGCAATACGTAAAAGAAAGACCATAACACATAGTTTTGAGTGATACAAAAAAAATTAATACTATTTTCAAAATCCGTGTACCTGAATTATGGAAAATCCATTATTAAAACCAAAACAACTATTATCGAGTTTAAATTCACAGGCCTGTGTTATAAATTTATATAATTTACAGAAGATAAGTGTGGGATTAATTCATATTTGAAAAACAAACAATGGCAATCATGCTGTGGTATTTAGTTGACATTAGCAACTCATCCACAAAGTGAAAACTGCTCATAAAACTTGTGGGAAAATATCTTTTAAAAAAAAAAAAATGTTTATCGCAATTACGCAAGTGGCTACCATCAGAAGAGGTCAATCATTTCAATCAAAGATAATTCAAAAATTACTTTAAAAAAACCAAAACAATGCAAAAGAAAATAGGAAAATGAATACCATGTTAGAATAATAATAATAATGTACTGGTTGAAAATGTTAAGATGGCAAGCACATATCCATTTTTGATTTCTCAGTTGCACAGGTTGTAGGTGCCAAAGTGTACTAATCAATTAGCAAATACCACTAATCACCCACCTCTACAATTAAAACATTCTAAAGGCACTTGGGAACCATACTTCTTTAACTATGAAGTAAAAAGGAAAATTTAAGGAAATTGTAAAAAACTTAGAACAAACTTACTAAATGGTACATAGTTTTGATTCTAAAAATTTCCTATAATTTGGTTTAGTTTTTCAATAATTTTTTATGTCATGAAATTTCCAAAATTTTGTTGCGAGACACTTCTTTTAAAAACAACATTAAAAATAATTTCTTTAGTCTTGGAATTTAAATATACTGTTGATAAAAAAGTTTCATTTTATACATCAAGTCAATTTCAACTTGATTGATGTTTATTAACATATTTCTTTTGATAATTTACCTGGCCAGCTGCAGTATTCATGACTTCTGGCTAGAAATCATAAATACACTGCACAAACTGACAAAGATTTATTGGTGATCTAGAACATTATCCTTCAAAATGGCAGATTAGGTAACAATTATTGGTTGAGATCAATTTATATCTAATAAGTATATCTTCTTTTCAATAGATAATAAATGCTTCAATGTCATTTATCAATTGAAATGTTATTGCAAAAGCCTAATGCCAAACACATAAATATCACAAAGATAAAGAAAAAATTGTATTAGTACCAATTCAATTTTAATGATATATATTACTTTAGGTCTAACTTTTCAAGCATGATATTTTGCCAAGATATATCAGTATTTTAAAAAGGTTAAAAAAACAATAATTCATGTGACAAATCCTGAAATAGGTGATTTTAAGATCCAATTTTCGGCCCCAATTTCTTAAGCAAATTTTCATAAAATGGACGAGTTCATTATGAAACTTGTTCACTTTAATAATGAGGGGTATATACAAAAAAACCTCAATATACATGTCAAGTTCACATTTTTTGTTACCAAAGAAATAAATGCTGATGTATACCTAAATGTGGTTTTATATTTTACACAAGCAACCTATTTAAATAATAATAAAACTTACAGATAAAAGATTTACAGACTGTTATAGATAATGTTTATTTACACAACTAGCAGAAATGTATATCATTCAAAGGGCTAAACTACCTTGACTCAAAAGAGTTGTCGATATGTATACAGATTGTTTGCCACTCTATACTTCCCACTAATTTCTGTGCTTCATATAATCGAAAGAATTAACCTAAAATATAGTGTTAATGGTACTAATGGAAGAAAGAACGATTATTCTATATTTTTTTATTGTGGAGTAAAGGAAACTGTTTTTATTTCTTTAAATCTGCACAGCAGCATGTATCACTTTCATAAGCACTTGTACTAGTTGCTTACTTTTATAATACATTCTTCTATCATGTTTATATGTAAAACATGAAAAGTTAATCACCATGATTGTTAACATCCAACCAGTGCAGTTTATCTTGCTCTATAAAATAAAGTTCATGTAACACTCATTTCATTTAAAAAAGTGTGATCAGTATGTAATATTATAAGCAAATGGACAAAATATATGTTTTGTGTGCATGCTTTGATAGAATAATAACAATGAGACAAATAGGGGATGACTGTCTATAAATGAGCTAGATACAATTTTCAGTTTTAACGTACTGTAAATTATACTTGTTAAAAACAGTAGAAAATTAGTAGAAACTAGTTATCAAGAAAATACAGTTTTTCCCCTACTTGCTCAGGTTTTGCATGTATCATTACCAACATAACGAACCCTTAGTCCCATTTCCTAAATTCTCTTTCATACATTGATCATAGTTAAACAATAATCCTAATTTTTAACATTTAAAAATATCTGTACAAACATGGGATGCTTTTGTGCCATTCAATGATGAAATACCATACGTTAAAATATGCACACTATGAAAAAATTTTAAATCAGACATAACATTTGAAGTTAACATTGTTAAGTTTACAGTTAAAAGAATTAAACATTTCAATTCCTCAGTTGCATCTTCAATGTCTTTTCTCAATGGATGCTACAAATTACACTACTAAACTACAATGAACAAACAGCATTCTATTACTGAACACTCATTATTCATTGTCTGTATGATTCTGCTAGCATTTTCTTCAGTTATTTCTGGTGAAATAGCTATTAAAAAGTTTGATTTCGAGGTTTTGTTTTCTGCTCACACCCACAGACTGAATTAGTTTTGAGAAGTAACATCTCTCGTCAGAAACTCTGAAGAAAATCAAGTGGACCAAATCTCAATTTTTGTCATACCTCTCCTCAGAAGAAAACCCCAATAAATAGCAGAATATACATATTTAAGTGCTTGTTTTGATACTCCACACATGACAATATAAAGTTTACTAGGAAAATGTTATCCATTTTTGATTCTCATTTTAAAGTGTTGTTTATGGGCACCCTTATAAACCTGCAATCTGGAACTTTGTGACATTTTTTAGTTTAAACAAAAGTACTAGACATCCAGATTTACTCACCTTAGCACCAAATTCCACAAGGTTAGCCAGGTTTTGTAGACACTTGGCCACCAATATTAGGCTGCGTGCAGCTGTCTCTGATGGAGTATCTAGGCAGGATATAAAATGATGTTTACATTATCTTAAAAACGTATTTATAGTTTTATAAACAGGAAGAGTACATACACATAATCACACTAGATCAAAGAAGAGGTTGAACTTTAGCAACTAGCATATCACACATGATAGCCAGTAAATGAAACATGATGATACAAATAGATAAGTAAACAATCTCATATGAAGTTTTAGGATGTAGAAAGATATGGCAGGATGTTGCACTTAGAAGTAATATATACGTGTGATATTAAATCATAATAACACCAATAAATCACTTAATTATTTAATAGCCCAACACGTTTGTAGTAAAATGCGTGTACAATAACATTTTAGTTATTCCATCTTTGTAGTAAGCCACTGCTAATAAATTTCAGAGCTCATCAGGCCAAATCAGTTACAATATATGAAATACTGGATGTGAGTAAAGGATGTAGTTGACAGCAGCACACACAACAATGGCCACTAAAGAATGATGTGGTTTTAGTTATTATTCATTTTATTACATTGTGTTTTTCAGGAAATAATTAAAATTGTTCAAATTACACTGTATAATAAATTAAATCTGACCTCTTTTAAGACAATGAGTTTTCCAGGAGTGCTAAGACTTAATTAAACAGTTATGGGTTACAAACAAGTTAAATGTGATACATTACTAATCTCTCTTAATGCAATGAGTTTTCTAGGAGTACTTACCATTAATTAGATTAAACTGTCGAGGATTCAGGATGACCGGACAGAGTAATCTTAGGAAAATAAAACAACTGAAAAAACAAACAAACAAACAATAAGGAACCACTATTGTTAGATTATTTAATCAAACTGTTAACACCTGTACAAATATACATAAAACTTGAAAATGTATAAATTGTGATTAGTTCAACACTTTTGTAACTTAGAAGAAGAATAACAATACAAAACTGAATAAAAATCTTGTAATAAACGTTAATAAACCATGTAAATCAAGATAATAACAAAAATAAAATCATTGCACTGCAGTGAAGCCTTTTTTGCATGAAGTTTTCTTACATACATATCCAAAAACAACAATAATTACCTTTAATTTTTAGAACTTACAACTTATATAATATTAAAATATGATTTGTTAACTACGTTTTGATGCCAAGTGTATTTGTATAAAATGATAATAAAGTAGTTTAAAAAGTTGTGACAGGTTCGCTTTGACCTACCTGTAACGAGAGGATTAAAGGTTTACTAAACAAGAAAGCTATATTTTTTGGGTGAGATATTTTAACCTTGAAACTCAGATTTAGCTGTTTTTCCTGGTAATGACCACTAGTGATCTAATATTGCTAACATTCATGGTCCTATTATAAACTTTAATATAAATCTGGAAAGTTTTAGTTTTATAACTACCAATTTAAGATATCTTAAAATTTACAGTAAGTATGTTAATTAAAACTGCATACCTCACAACACGTGTTTTAACCAATGGATCATTGGGCCATTTGGCCATCACACTTTTTTGTAAACAGCTGCAGATGTATCGAAGTGTCCTAGTTTCCATAAAGTAAAATCATTAACTTGTATACCAACATAATCAACAGTGTCCATTAAGAGCAACATAACACATTTTTATACTTCTCAGCTTCAATGAATAAATTATCAAACTAACACAATACACATTCTACATCATACATGAAATTAATAGAAAATAAAAAAATTGGTCTAATAATTATCATTTAACAAAAAACTGATTCAAGTCTCTAAAGAACAAAAAGAGTAATTAAAAATATATATAGAGGAATACCAAAATTATCCAAACATTTTAAGAGTAAAATTGTATATCATGTACTCAGAATTGTATACTACTAGTAAAAAAAAATATACATCAAACAAATTTACTAAATAACTGTTAATTACTTTTAAATGAAGGTTTACTAAATTAAAAACTGTGGAATTAGGGGAAAATAAAAACAACACTTAAAAGAACTCTAAACATTGAAAAATACTATAGAAACAAGACAGGTAATTCTTAAGTAGTTCAGTGAAATGACTTTTCACTTTCCAGTACAAAGTTTGTTGTTTTCAAACTTATAACTCTTTATAGAAAATACTTAAAGAAAATAAACTCCTACTTTGGACAAGAATCCACTGCCACAAATATGGATTCGATGATCTCGTCTAGCAGAGCCAGCAAATGTTCAGCATTTGTGCAAGCTTCTGAAGGACTTTCTAGTTTGCTAGGGTTCAGCTATAAGTCAATATACATGCACGTATAGCTAAAGCTTATTCTAAAAAATACAAAGTACATGAAAAACTTAACTAGATTCTAGTACAGATTGTGTTTGTTTGTTTTTCACAAAGCCAGTTTTCATCCACATTACTCCTACTTTAAGTGCAATAAAAAAGGGGAGGGTGATAGAACTATTCCACTTAACAAAACCAAAAGACTAAAGACAAATACATGTAGCTCATTCTAAGAAACAATAATTAAATTACTAGTTCATACACTTTAAAATTTCCAACAAAGTATTTTGTGACTCATTTTTAATATTCAACTGATATCAGTTTAAAAATTATTACACTTTTTTTAAAAACATTTAAAAACTTTTAACATCTAATGTTTTGAAGATTATCAACCTGAGATCATTCTGCAAGTATTTAAAATCATAACTATTAATCCTCTGTTACCACCTTTTCTTGTTGGAACAAACTTTGAATTAAAATTCTGATGTACAGAATTAATCTTCAAGACAGATTAATAAAGATAACCTGAAACACGATCTGCTTATATTTAATATCTTAACAATCATTAATACCTAATTATAAATATACAAGTTTTGATACACTAAAATTAAAAATTAATTTCTATTCATTCTCACTTTCTGAAACAAATCTTATTTCATAGTATTTCTATTATCTTCTGAAAAACACCATTTTCAATTCTATTCCTCCATCTCTGTGAAACAAATCCCATTCTAAATCACTTTAATATGAAATAGAGTGAGCCTTAACTTTACATGGCTCTCAGCTTTCTAAAACTAAAACTATTTTTTAATTCACCTCACATGACTGTCTACTCTCCATCACTTTTTGAATAGACTCCTGGAGGGCCTGCTGTAGGAAATGATGTGCTGTAGATCTCATGTACTGGTCCATCAGCGTAGTTGTAAGTGAAGCCACACGAAACAGTGTCGATGTCTCATCTGTTCAACATTGTAAAGAATATCGGGTAATCCAAAAATTACTATTTCACCTTACAAAGTTAAAGCAATAGACTTATTGAAAACTTAAGGACAAACAATAATAAACACTAAAAATAAAATTGACTGGTCCCTACACCATATTATGTTGATGATTAATCTAAGTCATTAAAAAAATACAGTATTTTTCAGTTTATAAGACACACTTTTTTACCCCAAAATTTGATGTCAAAATCTGCTTGTGTCCTATACAACGAAGATATGAATAATATATATGTATATATACGATATACACAAGCCATATGTAAATATATTTAAATAGTCATGCACAGTTTAGTTCAATTGAATGTGTTATTTATAACAATAGTAGTTTTTTTCTTTTAAAAACATAACTATTTATAATGCTCCCTAAATAATAAAAAAATAAATTA